ATTTGGTATTTTAAATATGTAAATATGTTTGAAAGCAAAAATTCACCTTTCTTTTAAAAATGTTGAGTTTATTCAAAATTTTGAATGTTTCTTCTCTTAGGCTTTGTGCAAGTGCAGGAATACAGAGATTGCCTGCTTAAAGCTGGTAAATACCACCCAACCTGAGTGTCTCTGAGGACCTTGTCTCCCAGTGAGACTTTGCCTCTTTTTTTTGTTTGTTTGTTTTTTTTGAGTTGGAGTCTCACTCTGTCGCCCAGACTGGAGTGCAGTAGCCGCTCCCGGCCACCGCAGCCTCGACCTGCTGGGCTCCGGCGATCCTTCCGCCTCAGCCTTCCAAGTAGCTGGAACTACAGGCACGCACTACCATGCCCGGCTCATTTTTTGATTTATTGTAGAGATGAGGTTTCGCCTGCCCAGGCAGGTCTCGAACCCGCGGACTCAGGCAATCCACTCACCTCAGCCTCCCAAAGGCGCTGGATTACAGGCTGAGCCACCGAGCCTGGCTGAGACCTCTTGTTGGCTCACTAAGGGCACAGGTGTCTTTAGTTTTCACTTATGTTATTTTTAGAACTTAGGCCATTAAGAAGTCCCCTGAAGGTTATTTGCTTTCAAGGACTACATTCTTGAATATGGAGGGAGAGGTCAGCTTTTTGATGCAGAGGGGAGGGAGGGGGCATATATTATGTACCTGATACTGTTCTAGGCACCTTCTGTAAGTTCTCATTTCCTCCTTATAACAACCCTGCAAGTATTATCCCCACTTTACAGAGGAGTGGAGTCTGAGAGATTAAGTCAGTTCTTACCCAAGATCATATAGCTTGTCAGACATGGAACTGGGTGTGTAAAATGGATTTGAGCTCATTTCTGTCAGGTTCCAGTGTATATGTGTTCCCCTACATCAGGGAAGGGAGGATGGCAGCAATGTCCTTTATTTCAAGGTGGCAGAAAGAAGACGCCAGGTAGACTAACTTGTTTAAGGTCAAAGAGAGTTTAGGATATGCAGAGTGCCACATTTCTTCTGATCTCTTTTCCTATGTCTGCATGCTTCTTTCTTTAAAAATAATCTTTGTAGTAAAACTCCCAATTAGAGAATGTGGCAGAAATATTTGTCAAAACAGTATAAATAAAATTAAAAAGTAATTTCTAGATATATCATTTCACAGTACTTGTACCTCTCAAAGAAGAGAATTGTCGGCAAATGTATATTTAAGTCTTTTTTGTCAAAGGACATAAGTAGAACTAGTCTCAAGGCTCCATGATACCCACTGGCATTGGCAGGGGCCTTAAGTATCTTTGTGCGGAATTGCTGCTTATTGAGCATGTATAAGTTTCTGATGACTGTATTAGGAGGATGACTTGGATTGATTGCCAGAGGCCTGATGGTCAGAGTACTCTTTTTCTTTAAGAGACAGGGTCAAAAAAAAAAAAAAAAAAAAGAGAGACATCTTACTCTGTCACCTAGACTAGAGGGCAGTGATACAGTTATAGCTCACTGCCACCTCGAACTCCTGATTGCTGAAGCAATTCTCCTACCTCAGCCTCCTGAATAACTGGGACTACTAGCCATGCCCGGCTAATTTTTTAAAAGGTTTTTGTAGAGATGTTACTCAGACTGGTCTCAAACTCCTAGCCTCAAGCAATCCTTTTGCTTCAGCCTCCCAAAGTACTAGGATTAGAGACATAAGCCACTATGCCTGCTTCTTTTATCATTTTATGTAGAAATTTTTTTTTTTTTTTTTTGAGTCCGAGTCTCACTCTGTTGCCCAGACTGGAGTGCAGTGGCCGCTCCCAGCCACCGCAGCCTCTACCTTCTGGGCTCCAGCGATCCTTCCGCCTCAGCTTTCCAAGTAGCTGGAACTACAGGCGTGCGCTTCCACACCCGGATAATTTTTTGATTTATTGTAGAGATGAGGTCTCGCCAAGTTGCCCAGGAGGGTCTCGAACCCATGGGCTCAGGCAATCCACTCACCTCAGCCTCCCAAGGTATGGGATTACAGGCTGAGCCACCGAGCCCGGCTAGAAATTTTTTAAATACATAAATAAGTTGAAAGAATAGTACAATGAGCCCCATGTACCCATTACCTAGCTTTAGTACTCTTCAACTTTCTGGCATTCATGTTTCATCTGTCTCACTCACATGCTTTTTACCTCCAGGAGTTTTAAAAAGTAATTTCCAGGCAACCCCCTCAGGTTCCCTTCCACTGTAGGAACTTTTCTGTCCTCTCAATAAATCTTCCTTTCAAATATAAATAAATAAATACATACATACATAAATAAAATTAAAAAGTAATTTCTAGATATATCATTTCACAGTACTTGTGAAAGAGAAAATAGCTTGAGAGAGTCCTCTGGCTAAGGATAATGGAGCTTCAAAAAAATTTTTAAGCTATTATTTATTAAATGCCTAATTATTTATAGAACACTATGCTAAATTTTTTTTTTTTTTTTGAGTTGGAATCTCACTCTGTCGCCCAGACTGGAGTGCAATGGCCGCTCCCAGCCACCGCAGCCTTGACCTGCTGGGCTCGGCGATCCTTCGCCTCAGCCTTCCAAGTAGCTGGAACTACAGGCGCGTGCTACCACGCCCGGCTAATTTTCTGATTTATTGTAGAGATGAGGTCTCGCCAAGTTGCCCAGGCAGGTCTCGAACCCGCAGGCTCAGGCAATCCACTCACCTCAGCCTCCCAAAGGCGTGGGATTACAGGCTGAGCCACCAAGCCCGGCTTATGCTAAATATTTTAATGCTCACAAATAACGGTGTGGTGTAGGGGCGAGTATTAATTCCCAAATGTAGAAGAGAAAACTAAGGCTCCTGGGACTAAGTAATGTGTCTGAGTTCAAGTAACTTGCCCTGGTTGCACAGCTAGGAAGTAATGGGGCCAGGATTCAAGCCTGGGGTTGCCTGGGCCTCTTGGTCACTCCTGTGTACTGCTTTCTGTCCTGAGCTTTGCATTTTTTATAACCCCAGAAGGGTTCTCTCCTATTCTATACACCTGCCCCCATAGTACTTACCAAACAATAACAGTCAAGGGTTTCTTTTGCGTATAGTGACACTAGCAGGACTAAACAGCATCCATGTTTATCCCTGATACAGGAAGGACAGTAACAAGGGGAAGGTGGAATAGGCTAATAGAAGGAGGGAGAAATGAGGGCAGAAAGCGATGTGATGGAAGTTTCGTGGCACTTCAAGTGGACCCTGTGTTCTCGCTACCCTTTGGTAATTCTTTTACTTTCAAAGTTGTTACTGTTTTACTTAAGCAGAAATACAAAGTAGAGTAGGGAGCATATGGTGTGACTTTTTCTTGGGTCCCTAAGTCTTCTCAGAAAGTCCTGGTGGCAGCAGTAATGATCTTAAATGCCACTCATTGGTACCAGAGCCACAGGTGGCTTTGTGTCTGTCCTTTTTGTGCCTGTGTCCTTCCTTCTCTTCTCTCTTGGTAAAGCAGAAGGCAGCTCTCCAGTGTCTTCTAATCTCCCTGCCCATCTTGTTGAAGTCAGCTAGAGTATTGTGGCTTTGTCCTCTCTCCAGCACGCCGCACACATCACCAGTGTGCCCTGTTCTCCCTTTGTGACCTTCCATTGGAGGCTCAAGGCTATTTGTTTGATTCTTGGGCAATCCTTGAAAGGAAGCAAATTCAGAATTTTGCATCTTCACCCCCGCATCTTCTTTTCCCTATTCTCCTCTCCTTCTACTCATCCTTTTTTACTTTCTTCCCTCTCAACTCAAAATAGTGAGTTGAGTAAAAGAGAGGCCAGCCTAACTGTATACAAGGGACAAAGCTGAGTTAGCTTTAGTGGTTCAGAGCCATCTCTGATTTAAGCTTATATATTGTACCTCTGAGAGTTATACATGCCACTTGGTTCTGGTCCAGATGCTTTTTGAGGAAGCATATATACTGGAGACCCAGGGGACAGTGGGACTGATCTGGGTACTAGTTGGTGATAATAAAAGAAGCAGAGGCCTAGAAGTTAAACCTGGGTTCTAATCCTGGCGGTGCCACCTGTGACCTCAGGCTAGTCTCATCTTACTCTGAGTTTCTGTAAAATTACTAGTGTTAAAAATTTCTTTCAGTTGTAACATTTTATGAATATAAAATTTGGGGTAGCTTAATCCTTATCACAGATCATTGTAACTTTTGACTGGAGAAGTGGTAGAGAGGAACTTAACTCCCTGTTGTTGTTGTTTTTTTACATTTATTGTGCACTTTATTTGTATTATTATTACATTGTATTATATAACAAAATAATTACACAACTCACCATAATACAGAATCAGTAAGAGCCCTGAACTTGTTTTCCTGCAACTTGATGGTCCCATCTGCGGGTGATGGGAGACAGTGACACCAAAGTGTGTTGCTTATGTCCAGTCGACTCCATAATCTCGTCTTGGTTGCTATCATTGCAGAAAACCCTGTTTCACATAGATAGGATGTTGGAAATGGAAGCAGGCTCTTCAGTGCTGATCTGACAGGAGGCTGAACTCAGGCCGTAATGCGAGCAATGGAGGGTTGCTGTAAATCAACTTCCTTTCTTAATTGTAAAAATAGATGAAAGCCTGAGGCGGAAGGATCGCCGGAGCCCAGCAGGTCGAGGCTGCGGTGGCCAGGAGCGGCCACTGCACTCCAGTCTGGGCTACTGAGTGAGACTCCAACTCAAAAAAAAAAAAAAAAGTAGATCAGATCCTGTCCCTTAGTTATAGTAAAAATAGAGGATTCGATTAAGCAGCATTGTGAGATCCTTTCTAGCCCTGAATCTTGGTTATAGTGTCTCTTCTGGTCTTCATGTCTTATTTTAAGTAGAAAAAGGGAGTTGGAATATGAAAGCAGAATTTGAAAGTGGGATAAAGAATCGTCTTGGAGTCCTGTTCCAACTTAGGGGTGGGTGTGAGACCAGGTTGTTGGGTGAACATGTTCTCTTGCTTCCTTCTCTTGTGCCGTCTCAGCAGTTCTTCACTGTGTTTAGTTCCATCCTAATGCTGCTTCTCCTTCCTTGTTACCTAGTACCTCAACATGCTAAGGACTTGTGAGGGCTACAATGAAATCATTTTCCCCCACTGTGCCTGTGACTCCAGGAGGAAGGGGCACGTCATCACAGCCATCAGCATCACGCACTTTAAACTGCATGCCTGCACTGAAGAAGGCCAGCTGGAGGTGAGAGTTCAGCATGGGCTCGGGCTAGGGGCTCTGGGCATGATTTGATGTTCACTCACTTGCCATCTTTTAATTCCTTTTGGGGGAAATGAAGCCAAACTGTGCTTCGACTGGGGCAGATAAACTGGTGCTGACTCCACACTGATTCTCAGCTTCATCAGCTGCTTCCACTGACTGCCATTCCTTCATCACAGCCCTTCCCCCAAGTGATGCCGACACGTCCTCATGTCTGTTGGCTCGGAACCCTTGTCCCAGTGCCCCAGCACTCTCCAACCCAGGCCGTAGCCCTCACTCTCTCATCTTGGTCGTTCAGAGCCAGGTAATAGCATTTGAATGGGATGAGATGCAGCGATGGGACACAGATGAAGAGGGGATGGCCTTCTGCTTTGAATATGCACGAGGAGAGAAGAAGCCCCGATGGGTTAAAATCTTCACACCTTATGTGAGTGGGAGCTAGGGAAGCGTGCTTGGGGAAAGTAGGCTGGGATTCGTTTTCCTTAAGCTGAATGCATGAGTGGGGAGAGAGATGGAGACAGTAGTTGCCCAGAGATCTGAACCTGTTTGAGTCTGGGAGCCCTGGGTTCATCCTGTCTTTCCTTTAGGCCTGACTGGGATCGACAGTTTCATATCCCACTGGACTCACAGTTACCACTAGACGGAGCTAGAGAACCGTTCATGAGCCAGACCTGGGTTTTTGTGGTACTTGTCAGGGTTTTTCTCTAGACTGAGTGAGTTGGAAGATGGGGTGACTGGGGCAAGAGTTCAAAGGCCTGACCCTGTGGTCTTAGAAGTCACTGAATATTGCCACTTTTTTTCAGTTCAATTATATGCATGAATGCTTCGAGAGGGTGTTCTGCGAGCTCAAGTGGAGAAAGGAGGTAATTCGAAATAGTCCTTAAATTAACTTTTTCATCTTTTTGTTTGTTTAAAATTTATAGGCCCATGGCCAAATACCTGGGACCCTCACCTCCATCTCTGTCTTTCTAGGAATATTAGTTAGAGACTGGTTATCTCATATGAGCCAGGACGTTCTTCCAGTGAGGTTGGCCTCTGGATGGTGAACAGGCTGTCCAAAAAAGCTCTGCTGCTTCCCTTGTCTAGAGGGTGGACGTTGGCTAGAGGCTCTTCCATCTCTCATGACTTCATGGATCCTCTGCTGCCAGTTTTTAAAATCAGATCACCCTCCATGTTGTTCCTGACCCAAAAGGGCAGCTGTGCTCAGTTTTAACTGCCTGACTAGATGAATCATGACCACCTTTCTAGGTGAACCAAGAAGGTTCATATGAGGGAAAGGTGTCTGCTACTGCTTTACTGCTGTCTGTATGTGCCAGTGCTGGAGCAGAATTTGGAAGATTCTGAATAATTAGCTGCTTATTTTCAAAGAAAATCTTTCAGAAGATCAGGAGGGCAAGCCAGAAACATGAAGATTTATATTCTTAGTTTAGTAGAAAGAATATTGGGCTCTGGGAATTTTACCTGGGTTTTCTTTTTTCCCGCTGTATAATTTTGGGTAAATCAGGCTCCCTAGGACGGTTTTTCTTCTGTAAAACAGGTAGACTAAAACAGATGATCAATATCCAAGGCCCCTTCCAGCTCTAAAAGTCTGTGATTCTAGATGGGAAGTTTCATCAGGGGACAAGGCCGATCTGATTGAGTCACCCAGTCGTACCTTTTTAGTTTCTGTTTGAAGAGTTATCTCCAGATGGAATGAGATGTGGCTTCTCAGTAACCCTGTTCTTTTTTCCCTTTCAGAACATTTTCCAGATGGCGAGGTCACAACAGAGAGATGTGGCCACCTAGCCTTTCCTTCCCTCCTTCCCTTCTCTTCTCCCTTATCCTCTTACTCCTTTCATCTCCCGTGTCAGACAGAGTAACCATTAACACAAGAGAAGAGAAAAAGTTTAAAAGTCATTCTATTCAAAAGCCCTAAACTAAATATGATTAATAACCACCTCTGAATTTCACGTCTCTGGGATTGAGCTGGGAGAGAACAACAGATTGGTCAGCACCAGAAGTCAACTCAGTTAAGACAGGAACAGAATAAGCCCCACCAACTTGCCAAAGGTATCCTTGTCCTTTCACCTGGGCCTCATACCAACAGACTCTCCTTGTACTATATTTTTAAAACTGGAACTATGAACTTCATCCATTTGCACTGTTTGGACATATATATGTATGTATGTAAAAAATTATATATACATGAATTAGCTGCACGTATATACATATATATTTCTTTTTAAATTTCATATTGATGGCAGTACCTTTTTTAGCTTGTGTTTTTACACACCTTTCACTAGAATTCATGACCTCTCTCTTGCTCTCTTTATTTTGAAACAAACTTTAAAAAGGAAAAAAAAACATTTTACAGGGAAAATACCTCTCCTCACGAAGGACTTGAAAAGTTTACAACCTGCTTGGGTTTTTTCCCCCTTTTTTGTGTTGAGTACAGATTCTGGCTCATGGGCTGCCGTAGAGTCTGAGGAGCAAGGAGTCTAGTTTCTTTATCTTCCAAGAGGATGCTGGGGAGGAGAGAGGCGTGTTTCTCAAGGTTAGCAAGGCTGAGTTCTGTAGGGAGAGCCTGAAGACTTGGTGTTGTCTCTTGAATCCAAGTCAGTTTTCAGGCCCATTTCTTTCTCCCACTCTTGGGTTTCTAGACACATTCTGTATCTCCTTCCTGCTTCCCTAGGGCCCTTGGGTGGAGCCGAGGGTGGGCTTAGGAAGTTGATGCCTTCATGGTAGTGATTTCCCATTTCCCTGCCTTTTTTGCAGGAGGGATAGTACTGGGGACTAGAGCTAAAGCTGATACCTTAGGCACAAAGGTTGGACTTACATGGGAGAAAGCAAGTAAGCAGTGCCCTGTGTATATGAGGTTTTACCTGCTCCATTCCTGACCGATTACCCATAACGATTACCTTCTCTGTGACTTCCTTAAACAACGGTTTTGGGGAGGGATGTGTTTATATCTTCACAGCCTTGGGGAAACTTGGAATGGGTCACTGATCTGTGCCAACCAAACCATTGTCCCATCCAAGCCAGCTGAGGACCCAGGAAGGGGTAGTAAGCGTATGGGTGATTTAGATGAGAGCTCCACTTTTTAATTAAAAGGATACTGAAGGAACACCTTTTTGTCCCTCAAAGAGCTCCTTATCTGACCTTGCAGCTAGAGACCCCTTGAGACCTAAGAGCTGCATCCCAGGATAAGAGGCTGGGGCTGACTGGGGCAGGACAGTATTTTCATCCCCTGAGCTCTCTAGATAGTGCATGGGAAGCCCCAAGTCAGGCTCAGATGCAACTGAAACATACATCTTTCAGCCCCCATACTTCTCTGCCTTCTAAACAAAAGCCTCTACAGGGTGGCATCATTTGCTTTGCCTAACTGGAAAGCAGTCATAATTGGTTGCAGTCATCTCCTCTGATTAGAAGTTTCTTTTTGTAACTTGTTTTTGCAGATCACTGTGAGGCCACCGTTCTTTCTTTCTTTCTTACTCTGTTATCCTGGCAGCTGCTTGTCCTAGGGAGGTGTGGGATCATATAGGATGTCCTGTCCTCCTTCCCCTCTCCAAACCCAAATGGAATCACAGAGTACAAAACATGAGAATGCCAAACGTCAAAGTTGCAGAGAGTGATCCTTGATTAGAAGACTTGGACACAGGATTTAACTTCTGTTGACTTAAGTGAATTTAATAGTGAGCCAAAGGACCCTGGAAAGAAGATGTGTTGATTTCCCACTCCAGGATGCTAAAGAGGCTTTTGGCACCAGCTTTATTCAGACTGTAACAATAGCAGTTTGCTCCTACTCCCTCCTAGTGGGAGAGGAATGAATAACTTGAGGATCCCCTGGAACAGCCCAAATGTTGACCTCCAAATCTGAGACCGGGATTCAGAGGCCCCTAGAGTGGGTAGATGGTGCCATGTTCCTTTTCTGGCACAGCATTCACTTGGTGTTTGGAGACTGGGAGAGGGTCCTGTAGGTAGTTGGCTGTTGCCAGAATCTGTTTAGGCTCCTTCTAGTGGCTGTGCCCCTAACAAAGCTCTCCGCTGCAGCAAAAAGTTGGGAAGGAAGGTGACCCTAAAGGACAGCGCCTCCTTCTCTTCTACCCACAACAGGCCTTCCATGATGGAGGCTGGAGTTGCTGTGGCTGTGGGTACCCATAGGGTCAAGCCATCTTTGCATGATGCAGTGTTTGCTGTGACTCTTCTCTTGCCCTTTCCTCGGTACTTCCTTTCTCTAATCCGTACTGTTTTTCTTAGTTCTGGCTTCTGCCCAGGGAGGCTTCAACCCAGGCTTCTTTTGCAACTTGTCCCTGGGAAAGGGGGGAGTCCCCTGTCCCCAGTTTCATCCCAGCAGAACCAGCAGGATCTTCCTGGTCTCCCACTGTCCTCCCTCCATACCTAGTTTCTATCCTCTGGGGCAGAAGTTCAGAGCTTTTTATGGATCAGGAGAAAATGCAGGCCCTGAGGAGCCTGCCCCTGCCGTGCTTTGGGCCCTCTGCTCTTTATATTTGTGTTCTCTTCTCCAGTTTTCTGCCCTCCCCTTGCCCTAGGCCTAAGCACAGGTACAGATATGTGCATGCTCAGGGCAGCTCCTAGGCCTGGACAGAGCTCTCAGGGAGGAATTAGATAAATATTCCAACATCCTCATGCCTGGCCCATTTCATTTCATCTCTTAGTTATCCAGGCCAGTAGCTTTGGGTCATCGCCTCTTGTAGCTCCAAACCCAATGCTCGGAGCAGTAAAATAGGGCACTGACAGGAGGTGACACCTCTCTCTCTCATCTTCGAATTTGCCAACATGTGGGCTGGGCTCCTAGGAGGCGGCTTTCTTAAAGAGGACTGCTTTGCTGTGCCCTCCCTTCTCTCTGCCATGCTGTCTGGCTGGGTTGATTCAGCAGTAGAAACCATTTGGTCTGTTTGACCCCAGCGTACTGCTATTTCTTCACCAGCTTCTTTGTGTCACATTAGCTTCCCTTTGGAGGGAGGATGGTGTGGTTGCAGACTCAGAGGAGGAGGGAGGGACATGGAGGCCGTGGGTGTGCTTCTGTGACTCCCACCTTCTAGGTCCGCCTCTCGTCTTCCTCGTCCCCTGAACCTAGGCACATCACACCAGGCCTCATTCACACCAGGACAGCATCAGCTCACTCCTCAGCAATAATCTAGGTTGTGTGGGAAGCTTAGGGCTCTGGAAGGAACAGAATCAAAGAGGGGAGTGTTTCGAGGTAGGGGTACTTGGCCAACTGCTAAACTTGGACATCAGTTTTATATCATGTCCCCCTTTTAAGCCAGTGAGCTGGGCTTCAGTTTTTCCCAGGCCATGCACACTTTAATTTATTTGAGAGAAACTCTAATTGTATTTTCACTGCAGTATCTTGTATTTTTTATTTGTGATTTAAGAAATGTGAAGAGAAAATACACAGACACCGTAATGGCTAACAGTGTTTCTTTCGTTCCTTGTTCTAGAGCTAACCACTCTAAAATTGTTTGGTAATGTCACTTAGTGTAATTAATTGTAACATATTCTTTTAAATAAATTGATTTATTGATGAAACACTTCTTTGGTTTCCTAGACTACAAATCCTTTGGGCTGTGTGGGAAGAAGTGAAGAGGGACCGTTGAGATTTGAGTTAGAATGGTCAGTCTGAATATGAGAAGGAACAGCTAACCAGTTTTCCCAAGTAACTACTGGGGCAGTTTATTGAGGTCATGAGATGAAGAAAGGTAGGAAAAGGAGAAGCCAGGGAGTCCCCTTATCTGCAGTTCTGTTCCCAGTGGCTCCTTCCCCCTCAGATTTGATTGTGTGTACTCCCCTGTCTGCCAGCCTGCACAAAATCCTGTTAGGACTTGCAGGACTCCTCTCCCAGCCTTATGCAGACAGGGCCTGGCATAGCCCTTGGGGCAGAAGTCAGCAGTTCTCCCCCACCCCAGCATGTATATATTGAGGACCCCCCCAAAAATGGAGTTATCTTTTGGAGGGTAGGCCCCTTATACTTACAGCACAGGCTTCCACCGCTAGGTAAGTGTTCTAGGAACCCATCAGCATCAGCGTTGTTGTACAAGGCCGCATCGGCTTCAGTTAAATTTTTTTTGGAGATTCTTTCAACATGTTTGCCCATTTCATGATGGGTGATTTACATGAACAACTGGCCCATACCCCAGCAGTTTTTGACCAAAAACAGCAGAACTCCTGTGATCTAACCTCCCTATTCACCTGATCTTTCCCCATGACTTTTTTTTTGTTTCCCTGATGAAAAAAAGTCCTCAAAGGAAAATATTTTGCCAATGTGGAAGAGGTGAAACAAAAAGGCAGAAACACTAAAAGGCATCAAAACTGACAGGTTCAAAAACTGGTTTAAGCAGTGGAAAAAGCATCTCAATAGGTGTATTGTGTCAAATGGAGAGCACTTTGAAGGTGACTGAAGTTGAAACGTAAGAATAAACACCCAATTTTTAATAAGTAAATTCCAGGATTTGAGGGGGTTCTCCCCTAGTACTTTTTCAATTTTCAGATAACTCAGGAAGTTTTTCACCCTGGGATCTGGACTGAAAGAAGTATATTATACCTAATAAATGCTCAGCACAATACTAGGTGTCTGGGTGGTTGTATTCCCTCATCTGCCCACACCTCGGTAAATAAGGGTGGTCCTATGTGCCTTTTGTGTTTACAGAGAAATCTTGGGTGCTAGGGCCTCATTACCTTCTTTTAAGAGTAACTGTTCTTTCTGTGCATTCGTTTATAGACCAAATCTCCAAAAAGCTCTGCTTTTGTGGTGGGTGAGACATTTTTATTATCTTTATAAACCTTAATTTCTTATTATTTTTATAGCTCTGGCCACGTGCTTTTGCTGCAAGGACCATTTTAGTATTTTGTTTGGCAGTTTGGGGAGACATTGTTCAGGGGCTCATTCCCCCACCCATTAGCATTGACTATTTGGAATCTAGTAAATACTACTATGTTAATGGGAAAAGACATTTATCTTTAATAAGGAAAGAATCTATAGAGAAAAAAAGGTGGAATTCCAGAAATAAAGTTACAGTGATTAAAGCCAACAAACATTTATTAGATACCTCCTTTGGGAAAAGGAGCAGAATTGTGTTAGAATCTACAACAGATACAAAAGCAAAGAAAGAAATATTTCAGCTGGCTCACAGCCTCACAGAGGAATGAGACATTTACAGGTAGCCATAGTACACAGCAGTAGAAGGTTTAAATGCCTCTAGAAAAGGAGGGAGAAAGCCCTGGGAATGAGGGCAGTTAGGAAACCTTCATGGAGAAAGCAGTGTTCAAGGTGAACTGTTTAGCATCAGCTGGATTTCAACAAGAAGGCATTCAACAAACATCTGTTGAGCCTTTATGTACCAGACATCGTAGCAATTGGGAATGAAAAGCCATGGGGAGAAAAAGGAGCAGGTTGAGGTGCTCTATGTGGGGGGGAGAAGAAGCAGAAAAGTTTTGTTGTTTTCTATCAGCTGCACTTTCAAAAGATGGATGTTTCAGAATATAGACAGAAGGATCAATCAGGACACTGCTAGAATCATGCAGAGAGGTGGAGGCAGTGATAACTGAAAGGCAGGCGGTGATATGAGAAAGTTTGTGGAAGTAAAATCTCTAATTACATTGAATCTATGTGTAAAAGACTCCCAAGGCTTCATGTCTATGTGACTAGAAAATAGAAACAAGCTGGGCTCGGTGGCTCAGCCTGTCATCCCGTGCCTTTGGGAGGCTGAGGTGAGTGGATTGCCTGAGTCCGCGGGTTCGAGACCCGCCTGGGCAGCGAGACCTCATCTCTACAATAAATCAAAAAATCAGCCGGGCGTGGTAGCGCGCGCCTGTAGTTCCAGCTTCTTGGAAGGCTGAGGCGGAAGGATCGCCGGAGCCCAGCAGGTCGAGGCTGCGGCGGCCGGGAGCGGCCACTGCACTCCAGTCTGGGCGACAGAGTGAGACTCCAACTCAAAAAAAAAAAAAAAAAGAAAATAGAAACATGAGTCGAGACTTTGAAGGAGAAACTTGTAGCTTGAGACCTATTATAATTTAGGTACAGTTGGAAATCCAGTATAGATGTCCAGCCATCATTTTCTAATGATTTACCAAGCAACTTCTAATGGTCTGGGCCCTGTCAGGGAGATGGGGCTGTAGGGCTGAACAAGGCAGAGCAGGAACTCAGTAAGTATTGGTGAATTCACTTTTAAGACGTGACTCTGGACTGGGTGGAAGGGTTCGCGCTTATAATCCCAGCATGTTAGAAAGCTGAGGTGGGAAGATTGCTTGAAGCCAGGGGTTTAAGACCAGCCTAGGCAACATAGTGAGACCCTGTTTCTACAAAAATAGAAAAATTAGCCAGGGCATGGTGGCGTGCCAGTAATCCCAGCTACTTGGGAAGCTGAGACGGAGAATCGGTTAAGCCCAGGAGTTTGAGGCTGCAGTGAGCTATGATCACACCATTGCACTCCAGCCTGGTCAACAGAGTGAGACCCTGTCTCCAAAAAAAAAGACAACTCTGGCTTCTTTGGAGAACAGATGATAGAGAAGGAGGAGAAACAGAGAGACAGATGAGGAAGGTACCGCAGGCCTCTAGAGTAGAGTGACATGGTCAGTGTTGCTGACTGTGGAGACGGAGAGTCATATACATTAGAGCATTAGAGGTAGATCCAGTGAGGTATTGCAGATGGGCTTGGGAGGATATGAGAGAAAGCGTAATCAAAGTGTGGCTCGAGTGGGTACACAGTGGTGCTGTTGACTAATGATGAAGACTGTGGGAGAAAGGGTAATAGCAAAATGGAGTTCAGGAGAAAAGTTAGACTAGAAACACACAGCTGGGACTCATCTTTCATTGAGAGGGTGCAGCATGTTGGAAGGAACTTTCATTTATGAGGAGCAAGAGGAAGCTGACTACTCCATAAAGTAGATTGAAAGAGGGACCAGAGAACAAGGCTCTTGCAAGAACCAGGAGCTTGGATCGGGGCTAGTCAAGTTCTCAGACTGGGAGAAGAGAATGGGACTTGGGCGTGAGTGGTATTTCCTTCAGTCACAAATACTAGAAGCTAAGGCTGTGAAAAATTTTGAAATTTTAGCAGGAGAATTAGCAGACAGAGGACACCCTGAAAGTTGAGCAGAGGCCAGCTCTCAAACCAGCAAGGCCCAACCCCAAAAGAAACAGAGACACCTTGCATCATGCTTATACACTTCAAAGTTTTGAAACGATAGAAAGGGAATGGGAACACACTGAAGGAATTATTTAGGGCTATTTTTTTCCCCTGCCATATTCTCATCACCTTAGTCTCCGTAACAGGATATTTTTCTAAATGTGTTTTCGTTTCTACAACAGAAAGGCTTCCCCCAAGCCCTGCTATTAACATGTCATCTCCACTCTTCTGCCTCAAGAACTTATTTTCCCTCTCTCCTCTTTATGCTGCCATTAACATTTGAACATAACTTGATTATTTTAGAGGAAGAAACGGGCAATAAAACTAATCACTGATATTGTGGGAGGGGCTGCCGTTCTGAGGCGCTGCCTGAGATCTGGGAAGATGCCAGGAAGGGGGAGGCTTCTCAGTCCTATTACCTCCTGCCCCCACAACCCGGAAAGAACCCACAGAACCCTCAAGTCAGCGAATCACTCTTGGAGATGCCCTTTGGTCTAAAAACCGTCCTTTCGACTTAGAAACTATTCTGCAGGTGAGAAGGCTCAAGGGGGAATTCATAGGTATTACATGCCACCTGTGGTCCCCCTTCTTACTCCCATTTCTTCCTATCTCGGAGCACACCTGCACACACCTGGAGCTCTGATTGTGGTTTCAGATGCTGTCTCTTTGGCTAAGAACCTGGACTGGATTCTCTGTCTGGTTAAGGTGCCACTTCTGATCTCTACCGAACCAAGAGACAAAATGTTTTTCCCTGAAACAATGTCCATGGATATGTCTCCATGATACTTCACGTTTTGCTTCCCTTTTTAGCTCTTCTTACTTTGAGTTCATTTAAGAGAAGGCAGAAGTACGGAGGTAGGGGGGTGAGTTGCGGGACTTACTGTTGTGCTTTCACAGAACTCTGGCCTGAGGTCAGATTTGAGTCGGAAGCCGAACAGGTTTATAAAGAGGGACCTAATGAGGTTGGGGCTATAGCCTGGAAGCAGAGACCACATCTGGGTGATACATCGGAGCCCACCCTGGAGGACTTCACAGAGAAGAATCTAGGAACTGGAGGGACCTCAGGGCCCATATAGTTCACCTGCTGCCTGAGGGCTTGCTGCCACAGCCTGCTGGATGCTCCTTGGGGTCTTTGCTTCAGGTCAAAGAGCAGGTGAGAAGAAAACTCAAGGGCTTTGGAGTCTGACAGACCATTCAGCTTCTACAGCCATCCCTTAAGGCTCTGTGACTCCGGTTAAGTTAGTTGACCTTCAAAGCCTCCTTTTTCCCTGTCTGTAAAATGATATCCTGCCTCATGGGGTGGTTGCGGGGATAAGTGAGAAGACACACAGTACGAGCCTAGCACAGAATCGCACACAGAGCAGTGGGTTCTAAATGGTGGTGGTACAACCAGCTCCCCGATCCACCCCAGCCACTGTGTGGAAATCGAGGCCCAGAACATGAGACAAGTCCTCAGCCTCCAGGGGGACAGGGCTGGAGCAGGGGAGAGGCCTGCTCACCTGCTTTCTTCTTCCTGTGCCCAGCTCTGCAGAATCTTCCAGAATTAAGCCCCAGAGAAGGACTGAAGAATAGAATCATGAAACCACGAGCCTTCTCACCACTGCTCAGAAGCAAGGGCCAGGCCTTCCCTGCAAGCGTTCTTCCCCAAACCCCATTCTCTGGACCTCCCACCCCCTTCCCAGTGTGGACAGGGACAGTCACCTGCCCTCAACCCTCCAAGACTCTTATTTGGTGCTTTTAAACTTTTTTCTTTATTTAGACAGAAAAGACCGACTCTTGAAAAGTAAAATGCAATAAATAAATAAGTTAAGCATAGAGAACTGTCTGAAACTGACTCCCCAGTCTCCCCTTACCACTCCCACCCCCACCCCATTTCTTTTGCCTAAAACCTCTTCCTAAAGAAAATGATCAGGTAATAAACCCCTTTTCCCCTCCCCACACCCCTCCTCCCAAGACCCAGTTACCCCCCAAAGCAAAGGGAGAAATCAAGAGAGAGAGAAAAAATCCCAGGGCAACATTGTCTAAACTCCCAGAAAGAGAGATGGCAGCGTCCGGGCCGGGCCGGGCCGGGCCGGGCAGGCTGGATAACGCACGGGTGGTAGTGGTATTTACACGGAGGGGACCAGCAGAGACTGTAAACATTTTTAGGGGTTCAGGGGGAGGTCTTTTCCTCGTGAAAGGAGGAGGGTCTCTGTGGCTGATGGGCGGAGAGGCAGCCCTCAGGACTCCCCCACACCCTCCTCAGAGGGGGCCCTTGGGGGAGGCAGTGAGTTTTCGAGCTGGGAGCCCAGGATTCAGGGATATCCTACCTCTAGCTGAGGGTGGAGGGGAGTGTGAGAGCCAGCTTCCGAGAAACCCCCGAAGGCGGGGAAGAGGCTGGGGCGAGGGCGGGCTGGGGGTGTGGGAGGTCCCCCGCTGCCCTCCGGGGCCTGAGCCTGCCGAACAGGCCCACTGGCAGGGGCGGCAGGTCAAACGCCGGGCCCAGAGGGCCCGTCACAGAAGCCCTAGCGGAAGGCAGATACCCCGGAACCTTCAAGCCTGTTCCTTGCTCCCTCACAAAGGCCAAAAGGGCACCTGGGAGGAAACAGGCCCTTGGAGCCAGGGAAGCATAGCCACGGCCCTTCAGAGAGGCGGGTGGTGGGAGCGGGTGGTGTCTTGTGCCCCCGGGGCCAGGAAGCAGCCTTTGCCCCAGAGCCCGGTCAAGGCCCGGGGCAGATGTGCAGAGAGGGCCAGTCGTGGGAAGAGGGTGTGAGGTGCCCCTTCCTCTGGGATCTCCAGACCTGTGAAGGAAGGAAATGCGGTGAGGCGTGGGCCAGGGCGCCGCCGGCAAAGGTCACAGGCTCCGGGGCAGGGGAGGTAGCTGAGGCGGCCACGGCATCTAGGAGGGGCTGCCTGAGGATGGCAGGTCGTCAGAAAGGCCTCAGTCCAAACGGACCGTCTACCCCCCTCCCCCAGCCAGAGAGCGAGGGGACAGGAGGCAGGGAGCGAACAATCCAAGAAACCCAAGGATACCAGGAAGGAAACAATCAAACAGCCCATGAGAAAAAGAAAGACTGGAGGGGACAGAGACAGAGACCCCGGGGGGGAGAGAGGCAAAGATATGAGACAGCGGACAGGCAGGCAGATAACAAGGAGAAGAGGGAAAGGGGTGCACTTGAGAGGCAGACACCTGGAGAAAGAGACTGGGAGCATCTGCAGAGGAGGCGGGGCCAGCCCAGGGCTGGGCTTGGGGTGGAGCCTCAAGGGTGAGACTGCCCCAGCTCCCAGGAAGGGCTCTCATTCCTTTTCGGAAAGGAACCGAGAAAGCGAGAGAGAAGTGCACAGAACACAGACCACAGTCACCAACCACTGTTGACCAAGCACATCCCGCGAGCTGCCCCCGGCCCTGACTCTGGGCTGGGGGGCGCTTCCCTCCGCGGCCCCCTCCCCAAATAACAAACAATCGGCTCCAAAGACAACACGCTCGTTCCATGCAACTTACAGGGGCCCGGAGCAGGGGTCCGGGGATGGGGGCTTCGGCCGACAATGGACACGGGCCCTGGGCTGGGGGGCCCCCAGGGTGGGGGGAGTTAAGCAGCCAGAATTGGGGGGAAAGGGGAGAAACAGAAAATGTGGGTATTTTTCTTGGGTTGTGTTTCTTCAAGGGTTTGGGCCAAAGGAGATTAAACAACGCAAAATAAGCAAGGCTCACAGCTCAGTGGCCATGAGGTTGAGGTGTGGCAGGCAGTGGGGTGGAGGGAAGCTGATAAACAAAGTTCATAGGCTGTGCGACATTTCAACCTCTTCCACCTAAACCAAGGCGATTCCAGAGAGGCCAGAGACGGGGCTCCCTAGCCTGGCCTGTGCACTCTCTCCTATGTAAGAAAAATCACCTGAGCACCAGGCAACAAGGACCTGATGTCCTCACTTCTCAGGCGAACAGGGATGCCAGGAGCCGACGATTCTAGGACCCGCCAGTACCCTCAGCCAGCCCCCTTCTTCCTCAAATCAAACTCCCTGAATTCCACTCCAACCCAAAGGAAAATCAGAGAGAGAGAGAGAGAGAGAGAGAGAGAGAGACACAGACACATGGACACTGACCAGACAGACAAGACCAGATATTGTGGAAGATCTAGGGAATGTACACGAATACACACAGACTTGGCTTTTTCTGGGGTCACAGGGGGTGTGTGTGTGTGTGTGTGTGTGTGTGTGTGTGTGTGTGTGTGTGTGTGTGTGTTCGCGCGCGCGCGCGCATATACACGCACGTGAAAGAGAGTGACTCAGATGATTGAAAAGCAACTGAGGGAGCTGCCTCAGATCCCCGCCGCAAGTGTCCAGAGTCAGGGGTCGGGCTGGGCATCCCTGAGGGCAGTGGAAGATGGAGGGGGCAGTCAGCTGAGGGCTCTGGCTGCAGTGTGGGGACTGGAGAGGGAGGACACGAGACAGGAGTGGGACCCACCTGGGACCCTCAGTAGGGTCGGTTGGCATCCTTAGGCCGCTTTAGCTGGACTTTGAGGCGCTTCATGCCAATCTGGAACCCATTCATGGCCTGGATGGCAGCCTGGGCACTGGCCGGATTGTCGAAACTCACAAAGCCTGAGGTGAGAGGGGCATAAGGCCTGGCCCAGCCCCACCGTGCCCTCCCATGCTTAGGAGACACTCAGTACCACCCTCCTTCCTCCAGATGCCTAGAAACATTCTAGACATTGCAGTGCGCAGTAAGAATATGTGGAATGACAAGTCCAGCCACTTGCACACACCAGAGCATTCTTTCCAGCCTTCTTTGCAGGGTGACCCCATCCTCGGCATGGATAACTCTGAATCTGCTTTTGAAAACAGCCACTTCCAGCCGGGCATGGTAGCTCATGCCTGCAATCCCAACACTTTGGGAGGCAGAGGCGAGAGGATTGCCTGAGCCCAGGGATTCGAGACCAGCCTGGACAACTTGGCGAGACCTCGTCTCTAAAATAAATCAAAAAATTAGGCAGGCATGGTGGTGTGCACCTGTGGTTCTAGCCACTTGGAAGGCTGAAGCAGAAGGACCGCCTGAGTCCAGCAGGTCGAGCTGCAGTGGCCGTGAGCGTGCCACTGCACTCCAGCCTGGGTGACAGAGTGAGACTCGACTCAACAACAAAAAAAAAGAAAGAGAAGAAACGGCCACTTCCAGACCCCAAATGGCTTCTGAGGCAGAGCAGACAAGAACATTCCCTTTCTCCCCTGAAGCCCCCTTTTAGAAGGCAGCTAAATGCTACTCCTTATGTCACCTTTCTTTGGAAACCAAACACCCGCAGCCCATGAGCCTGTTTCAGACTCATGGAGCATGAGTCTGGCCAGTTCTTACAGAGAAGAGATGAAGCTGTGGTTTTCTGGGGGAGAAGATGGGCCTGGACAGCAGCGGGTATGGGGTGCTAGGTGTGTCAAAAATGGTCTTTTGCACTCTCAGATGATTGGGATTTCATATACGGGGCCTGCTGTGATTTTAAGTCCCTTCCAGTGTATTAACCCTTTTTCTAATTTGGAGTTTGGCCCAAAAATGCGCCACCTAATATTCTTACCAAAACATTTGCTCTGATTGGTGGCCCGGTCAACAAAGACTTTGGCTGAGATGACGTGGCCGAAGGGGACGAACATCTGGAGGATCTCTGAGTCAGTGAACTCCTGGGGCAGGTGGTAGATGAAGATGTTGCAGCCGTCAGGGCCTGGGTGGCACAGCAGAGACAGAAGGAAGAGCTCAGTGACCGAGAGACAGGGACTCCGGGAGCAAAGGCCCCCATGAAAGCAGTGATCCCAGCCCCCCCCCATGTGGGCCAGGGATCCCGCCACTTGCTTTCTTTTTTTTTTTTTTTTTTTTGAGTTGGAGTCTCACTCTGTCGCCCAGACTGGAGTGCAGTGGCCACTCCCGGCCACCACAGCCTTGACCTGCTGGGCCCCGGGGATCCTTCCGCCTCAGCCTTCCGAGCAGCCGGAATTACATGCGTGCGCTACCATGCCCGGCTGATTTTTGATTTATTGTAGAGACGAGGTCTCGCCAAGTTGCCCAGGCGGGTCTCGAACCCACGGGCTCAGGTCATCCACTCGCCTCGGCCTCCCAAAGTGCTGGGATTACAGGCTGAGCCACGAACCCGGCTCCTCTCGCTTTCATCCCCACAGGGGCAAGAGCTGGGCTTGGTGCCACACAGGAGGGCGTCCCCAAGCCCACAGGGCACCCCCGGCCCCCAAGACCCCAGGCTGGCACCTTCTCTTTGCTGCTGCTGTTGCTGCTGCTGCTGCTGCTGAGGGGGCGGCGGGGGCTGCTGGGCGACCAGGGCTGGCGGCTGTGGGAACGCAGGCGCAACCAGGCTGTAGGCCGCTGGGTAGGCTGCTGGGGTGGGGAGAACAGAGAGGGCTCATGGGGCTTCCCTGAGCCCTGGGCCTTCCCAACTGCCCCACCTCCCTTCCCTAGCCCAGGCCCGCGGTGGCTACAGGGCGGAGTGGCTGAGACCTGGCCCCAGACCATCCTCAGTGGTGCGCCTTCTCATTCAAGCTGGAGGGGGTGGTTGGCAGGGAGCCAAGAGGGCCAGGCCCAGTTTCCGGCCTCTTTTCCTCGTGCCAGCCCTCCC